CAAAAAACAAACAGCGACTGTTCTCCTGCGGGTGATAAGGTCAGGACAACGCCGCTCTCATTCAGACTGAGAAACCAGCCGAGGAGAACGTGCTGCAGGAACTCAACTGACTGATTCACAGGCGGGGGGGTCGGTAACCTGCAGCATCTGACATCCACAGCAGCCTGCATCTGTGCAGCTACGGCGGGATGTGACGCCCAGTAACTAATTCACACATAATTGTTTGATTGTTATGTTGTCAGTCAGGCAGGAGGTCGCTGCAGTGTCTGCGGCAGAATGTTAAGGCACAATGTTTAGTAAACATTGGGTGAAGCTGCCTATAAAGATCAAGCAGTTTCCTCCTGACTAATCTGTGTGTGATTACATTCCACTGCTGTGCTGGACATTTGGCGTCACCACGAGTGACTTCGTTGTCCTTGTGTTTCTTTAACCAACTGCAAACAGCTGTTTCCCAGGGCCGTGTCGTTTGTAAAGGATCATTATAGTAAGTTACCTGGGCCTGAGCGCCTTCTGTATGTGTGATTTGCCTCTATAATAGCATCATAATAGACCTTTAGTATGAATATGCTAAGTATGTCAATATGTTTTCCAGATGGACTGAATATATACAACATATACAAAGCATATATACAGTATATGTAAATGTTCAGCTAAATTCTATAGGTTTGTGTATTTAATTTCATGACCTAATTCAAAAACATGCAGATTAGTAGCACATCAGCATCACTGTATGTGGATGGTTGTTTGTGTGTGTGTGTGTGTGTGTGGCTCTGCAACAGACTGGAAACCTGTAAAATGATACATACTGCCGAATGATACAAATTTCAAATTTTTTTTTTAGTAGCCAGTTGAGTGGCATCTTTATTTTCCAGCGCCGGCTCAGATATTGCATATCATTTGAACTTGATTTATATTCATGGAAATGTTTGTTTGTAGTGTCTTTAATAATAATAATAAAAAAGAATAATCATTTAAGTTTAAAAAAATATTTTTATCAGTAATTGAAAAACAAAATCCTAAACATTTCAGGCGACAGGGTTGAAAAGCCCTGGCCTAATGACTTGTGGGTTTTGGTTCCATCTGACTCCACACATCAGACAGTAAAGAATAAATAATGATTTAAAAAAAACAAAAACAAAATATTAACCATTAGTAGCATCTCTCTCATTCTTTGTTTGTTTTGAAATCTCAGATTTTTTTTTTTTCCAGATCATTTGTATCTGCCCACCCCTGTGATCAACCAGCCTCTCAATCACTGGTAGGTATTCTAAACATGCAGTCTTTACAGTTAGCAGGGGAAGAAATATATATAATTATATATAATAAAATGATTTAAATCTTTAACAACACAATTACTGACTAATATATGTTTATATTCATATTTGACCTATATTTGCATCAATCATTTAAATACATGGACATTTTGCAGCCCTAATGTTGACCTGCTCTAACACCTGTCTCCCTGTAAGGACGCAGCGTTTCCACTCCGTCGGTGGACACAGTGTAAGGACGCCTGTCTTTGAGGTGAGGCTGGAGTCTGTCTGTGGGGGAAGGATGAGAATCTAAATCACAAAAATATAAGTGAAGAGAATTGCCGCCTGAATAAATAATTCATGGGAATCAATCTCTTGCTCTTTGTTGGAGAGATTAAAATGTGAACCAGAAACAGGAGAAAATGTTCTTCTATTTACCCCAAGGACTTTAACTCTGCTGTTTACATCATATATATTGCAGTCTAATACTTTCACTAACTTTGTTCAGGATCTGCTGGATGGAAAAAAAAAAAGTTTAATGTCAGTGCCCTGAAGTTTTTTTTTCTTTCGCTACAGAGCTTATGTTTTGGTCCCATCTATCTGGGAGCTGCACATGGAACCTGAAATTTAGGCACACATTTGAAAACATTTTTTAGGATTATAGTTTTGGCCTGAGGATGAGACGATGATGAAGTTATAGACCTGAGGCTGGACACAGATTTGGACTCATTTCTTCTTCTACTACTACTTGTACTTTCTCAGTGTCAGTTAACGGGTTAGGGCGGCGACAGTTAGCTGGTCCATCACAGGGACACATTTAGAGACAAAAAAATCCCACTGACAGTCAAACCTGTGTTGAATGTCCAGTTAACCTACTCCACAATCTGTGTGATTTTGGACACAGGGAGAAAACTGGAGTACTCTGGAAAAACCCACACCCACACAGACACTGGGGAGACATGAAAAGAACACCACAGGGGCTCAAACCCAAGGTAAGAGGACTGACACACTCTTCCACCGTGTGGCCCAGATTTTTATTCAGGAATTTTTTTAAAACCATGTAAAAACGTAACCATGTAAAATGTAAACTCAGCACAGCACAGCAGCCTGTCTGTCCTGCTGTCTGATGTAATTATGTTTTTTCTCCTTCCATCTTATTCTGTTCAGTTTTATATTGTTAATATAAACTGAATACAATATTGACTGTGGGCAGTCATCCATTTTTACCGTTTACATGGTGGAACATACTTGTAGCTAATTTAATGTTAAATATGTTTGTGAAATCCCTCTATAAACCTTGAATGAATGTAGTGCTCAACAAGAAGTTATCTAAATATTTTATTTTATTTTTATTTATCTATTTATTCTTTACAAAAGGACACGTGTAATACGTGACCGTTAAAAGCTGTTGATCCAAATGAGCCGTTTAACTTTCCACTGTTTTAAACATACATTTCACGTCAGTTATGTTATGTAAACTAACTGACAGTATTCACGGGTCTCAGCAGAGAGCGTGGCTGTGACACACCTGACCACTGGGTGGGGTTGTTAGCCCAGCTATTCTGTTGCAGGTGAAAGGGCACCGTGGGAGTTTTTTGAATAGTTAGTTCTGCCTATGAAAACGAAGCTGTGTGGCTGGAACAGGAAGTCACATGATGTCCCTGTGCTGACACTTAATTGTTTTATTGCTGCAGCAAATCTGGAAACATAAAAGCCAAATGGTTTAGTATATTTGAGTTTCTACTTGTACGAAACAACGCGGCCGTCTCTCCAGTGATCATTATTAAACGGGGTTCTTGATGCCATCTGTTTCTGAAAAACAAGGTCAGGTGGTCCAAAAAAAGGACACGTGAATACATTAAATAAATCACAGAGATCAGTGGTGATTATTGTGAATCGACTATAGATAATCACGTCAATATTTCTCTGTTCATGTTCAGATTTTATACCATTCCTGCCCAGGGAAAACAAAGTGACAAATCATCATAATGTCACTGGCAGACTTTAATAGACGCATTAGGATTGATGTAGAGCGCCCCTGCTGCTCATAAAGGAGAATCAATCGTCTGCACTGGCAATTAAATCACACAGCATCACAGGTTCATTCCAGGGTCTTTTAGGGAAAAACAGGTTTAGAGGAAACGAACAAACACGAGGTTATGGTGAAAATGTGTGTGTTTGAACTGGAATATGTTAAAGAACTTACCAAAGTGTGTCCTGGAGTTGAGAACTGGAGCAGGAGCTGAACGCTGTGCTCAGTGTCTGGTCTTGTGTTATGTTGTTATGTTAGTCTGATGTGTTTTATGCATCCAATCATCTATTTTCTCTCATGTGATACATTTGTTATTTAGAAAACATTGGACAGTTTGTCCCTTCAGAGACCAAAGCTGTGACCGTGATGTTTTTTTTGGCATTTGGGAAGTTATAAGAAGTTGAGTGCAGTAAATGTGTGTGTGTATGTGTGTGTGTGTGTGTGTTAGCTGCAGCCGCGGTTGATGGCATATTAATGCCTCTAGTGGTCAATTTAATCTTCCTAATATCTGGGCGCCTGTAAAGCCTGGAATCACCTGTAGCCTAGCAACTGTGGCCACAACTAAGGGAACGGCAGCACTGCATGTTGAATTTCACCTGCATGTGACTGTCTCATGAGGACATGTCACACGGCCTGCTGTGTCCCTTCTTCCGTCTCTTTCTGACTGCACGATGTTTATGAAATGATACAGAATTTGAAATGCGTCACTTTATACAGTCGTATAGTTAGAACTTTTCCACACAGCCATCATCATTTACCCCCCTCTGGGGTTGTTTTGATCAATCTCTGTCAGAAGACTGCGATCCCCCAAAGTGTTTTTAACGTCAAACAGATAATATGTTGAATACAACACAAACTTAGTGAAGTAAAAAAAGAAAGAAAATGTTTGTACATTAAGTTTTATGAAATCCTCTCACGGTAACATTAACACAGGGTTAGGTTAGAAACAGATTAGCGTCCAGTTAGCTCTTTGTTTATTTCTACAAATGATAATAATGGCAATAATTACTGGATCAATTGTTTTTTTGTTTTTTGTTTTAATCTTACACCAATTCTGTTTGTGCGGTGGTAATAATTCATGGTTTCACTTCAGTCAGTCGTCCGTCACGGACGTACTGCAGCTGCGCTTCTTCTCACTCCTTTTTGAATATTTTCTTATCTCTCTAAAAGACGTTTTATTTTGAAAATGTAATGATACTTCAATGCTCAGCACCTTGATACTGGTCTGTAGTAACGGGTGGTACTGGCTGACCAGTCCTTGGAACAAAAGAGACCACTGGTATGGATGTAACTACAGACTAATACATGTTTCTGAATGGTCGGGGACCACTGGTATGGATATAACTACAGACTAATACATGTTTCTGAAATTGATAGTAATATTTATTTAAGCTACAAATATTGTTCATTGCTGTTGAATTAAAAGAACTTTTGATTTCTCAGGTTAAGAAACTCTGTTGCATGGACTTTATTAAATGCTTTTGTGGGCCACACAAAACAACTTGGCGGCCCGCATTTGGCCCCCGGGCCTTAAGTTTGACACATATGCATTATCTACTTAGATGAAAGGATACATTTACCATGAACTCACAGCAGAAATATCCACCATGTCCTACCACTGCAGGGGCGAGGGAGGTTTATGAGTGAAACAACACAGCCAGGAAAGGCAAGTACAATCTG